GTGTAATTAAGAGTAATAAATGATGCTTTTAAAGATTTGTCGCAGCTGGCTCTAAATTCTGCAATTTGAGCGCAAAAGAAGCAATCCCAAAGGCATGTTATCGCCAGCTCCTCACTATCTCCATTGCTTGCATAACTCCCGTCGCTATTTGCGGTCATTATAATTAATTATATCGTTGGCGTCAGCAATCGGAATTATTCATTCTGAATGAAGTCTTAATTAATTTGATTGTTTGCACGTTTTTTGCATGTCCCCGAGCGACTAAGATTCTTTGATGTGCCGAACTCATCTGCTCGTTATTTCCTGTTTTCTGCGAGCTGAAGATATAAACTTTCGTAATTTATTTCCTCTTGGATTTGAAAATGTCAGATTGAATTTTATAATGTCGATAATCCTTATCAAACATTTTATGAGATGTGCACAATTGTTTAGTAAAAACTTTAATAATATCATCGACATAAATATTAGACATAAAAATTCTAAGATATAATTAATATCATTAGAGTCTAACCAAATGAGAATTTCATCAATTAGTTTAAGTACTTTATATATTATACTAGCCATAAATGTATTCGTCGATTTACATAGATTTGATGAATTTTTCTTAAATATCCAATATTCTTCTTCGAATGAGAAAATTTCCTATATTTACATAATTATTTATGCTTTTGAACTTGGAATATTTTGGAATCAAGTTAAGTTTATAGTATAACATTTAATGATCAAAGAGTAATTAGCCCGTAATTCAAAAAGATATGAAAACAAAATGTATAAAAAATGGGCAAAAATAATTACTATATATATTTTTATTTATTTATTTCATTATTATTTATTTATTGACACTGCAGATTCAGTGGATATAAACATCTTTATAGATTTCTCATAGGATTCTATCGATTAATATCGGTTCCGAGAAGTTCTCAACATCCATCCGATATTCATCCGAATATCAGTTTCACGGGCGCACGAATCTGAGATTGAGACGGGCGTCGGAATCGTGAGCTATTTTCAATCTCCTATCAAAATCAATGAGGCAACAAACTCGCGCGTGTTCCAGTCACATTCGAAGATCGTTCATTCTGAAAATCGATGAGGCGTGACGGAGGCGATGGATTCCTAGATCTCCATGGCCGATGCCGAGAGGCTCGTTTACTGTCCTCTGTCCTCTGACCGGTTCCAGGATCGAGATACCGATAACACGGATGATCGATGCCGGACTACGCGGACAGAAAATCGTCGATGACAGTGCGACGGTGTTGAACATCGACGTCTCATTTACTTACTTCGTCGAATGCAACGGACGGCCCTTCGTGGCATCAATCGTGTTCTCGTGGATTCTTCGCAGGATAAGAGACTGCCGGAGAAGACACTGTGTGGAGGAAATCTTCCTAAAGATTGTTCTTCTCGAAAAGCAACGATAATAAAACAGTGTACGAATACATAGTAAATTTTCTTCGACAAAATTGCAGATATTCCTTTAATTAAAGAGACATTAAAGTTTAACGGAAGAAAATTAAGTGAATGAATGAATAAGAAAGAGTTAATAAACAATGGATGATAAGAAAGAGTAATAAATAGCATTTCTCCCTAAAAATTTCTACACGGAAAGAGCAATTTTGCTGAAGTATCTAAAAATTTAGTTAAATATATGTAGATTCAAAAATAATTTGTTGAAGAATGAAAATAATTTTATAGGAATTTATACATATAATTTGCTAGTTTTTTAATACAAATTAGAACATTTTTTCAGAAATATAAAGAAGTCTACATTTTCTTTAGAATTCGTTACATACACATTTATGGTACAATAGCATCAAATTATTAAATTGCTTGTCAATTTAATTCGCGATTACTAGAATAGTTTTAATTGCGTTTATAGTCAGGAAAAACTAACTTCGGCGCGCAGTTCTAAAAGATTACAATATGGTATATATGCAAGTACATATATAATGTGCATATATTAGTAATTCAAGATTGAATTATTTAAAAGCAATGAAGATCCAGCTTCGACCGTAATAAGCATTTTTCTAGAATTGATTGTGTTCTCACATATGCGGTCTAAAATAAAGATTCTTTAATCTTTAATATTATATATATGTATATTTATACTTCATATTTCTGTATTTTTAATATACAGTGTACACATAAAACGAAAAATTTGCTAGAATATCTAAAAATTTAAAAGAAATTTTGTTAAACTATATCAAAATAACTATGTTTGTCTCTCAGCATAATCAGTAATGCTCTACAAAGTTTTGCATTATAGCAATCACTTTAAGCGTCTTAAGTAATTATTTTGATAGTCCAACAAAATTATCCGTGTGGAAATTCTTTTGGCTGTAATCGGGGCCAAGTTAACTTTCCTTATATTACTTGAAGCCCAAGTTAGGATGCCCACCTTGGCCCAATTTTGGATTGTCACGCTTTTTTATCTAGGCCCCACATTGGTCTTCAAACTTGGCCCAGGTTTGAGAACCAATGTGGGGTCTAGATAAAGAAGCGTGACAATCCAAAATTGAGCTAAAGGTATAAAAATTTTAACCTGGACATATTTTATATAATTGTAAGTAGGGCTGATACATGAGGAAATATATCCAGGCACTTCATATTTAATATTGTAAGAAATGAGCAAAAAAAAATATCAGAACGTTCCGGGATTCGAACCGAGGCCTGATCTCCTGCATATTGGTAGACTTCCGTCCTGTCACTGAGCTTACACAGCCTTAACACTGATAGTTTCTCTAATTGTGCCTATATTTCCTCTAAATTTCTTACAATATTGACCCTGTATGGGCATTACTGAGACATCCAAAATAAATATTTATCAAACTCAAGTCCATTTAAGGCATAGTTATAGGATATCTCATAAATTCAACTATTATTATCAGAGAAAATTTGAGATTAAATTGAGCCTTATATGGGCTGTAACTGGGCAGGCCTAAGTATAACTACCTTGGGGAAAAAGTGGAATCCAAAACTAAGCCTTGTTCGGGCCGTGATTAGGGAATTTAAGTGAAACTATCCTAACTATACCCTAAATGGGCGTGAGTTTGACACCCCTTAACTTTAGATGCCTCAGTAATGCCCATATAAGGCCAGTATGAAAATATGGAATTCCCGGATAAATTTCCACACGAGTACTTTTAAATTGGTACCTAGTTAAATTTTTAAACAATTCAACAAAATTGTTTCTTATGTACTCCAATATTTAACCAAAAATAACTATAAACGAGCAATTTTATTTTTCGAAAGTAACGGAACCTACATTAGTTGCGAAGGGTGTCCGTTTCTCTCAGTCGTCGCAGATGACGCCATAGTGCCGTTCCTTTTATCTGCCGTCGTCCTTTTTTGGAATAGAAATTCAACGAATAATCGTGCGCTGAAATCGCATCGGCGCGCTATGCGTCCTGAATGCAGCACGATGCATATTGCATGGCCGAAGGAAAGCCGTTCGCTGCAGCCACCGCCGCGCCGCTTGCCTCCGCGTCGCAATCCTGTGTGAACGCGGAGTTCTTTTAGAAATCAGAACGCGGGGCGACATTCGTGAAACAACATTTATATAGACCTTTTTTTTACAGCTCCCGACGAGTAGACAGGAAATCGTAGCCCGAACTTATACAAGTAAAATCTCCGCATGAGGCAAATAAATAAATCACGTGCCTGATCGAGATCTCTTGTCTTTTCTTTCTTGGCTATCAGGTTTAATGTATCGTAAATTATAGCTATTATATACCGTAATTGATAGTAAATTTATCCATTACTTCTGCCATTTGTCGCTATAAAAATCATCGAAAAAGCCATATACTTGCGCTTATTGTATTTTTATTTTATTGTTACCGAAGCTGCCTCGGATTCTTGCTTCTTTTATATTAAATCTGTGAACTCATGTTTTTCGTGTCACAATTCTTTCGTAGAACAAAAAGGAGAGATGCCATAATAGACCGGCAAGTAGGATGTTTATGATGTCTTATAACGGACGCTATTTACCAGCCTTTACTGGAGAAAAGAAATACTATTATGGCCGTACAGAATTACGCTTCTGTGCTCGACGAGTGTAATTTACACAAAGTTGCGTAATTCGGTTCGCCATGGAAGATATAATGTCAGCTTTAAGACGCATCGCATTTTCATAGCTCCGCATAATCGAGCCATTAAATTGTCGATATCACGACATGATGCAGAAGAAATTCGATGAATGCTGCATGTCGTCTGCAGTTTGAATAAACAAAGCCCGTAAATAAGACGGAAAATGTAAATAACAGGCGGAAACTCTTGAGATTCGATTTGGTTTTATATTAATATGTCTGTATTTGTTTCCCGATATTTTGTGAAATTCCAAGCAAATGCGACAGATTCACATTCTAAAATTGCAGTGAACAGAAATATAACATAAGACAGTGTTGCAGGCTTGTGATTTAAGTCCTTCTTTCCGATCAATTTAAAAATATGATATTGTGTTGGATCGACTTTATGTATTTCCTTTTTTTACGCGTATAAATGGAGCGTGTTGGAATATTCCGCCGTTATTGCCGGTCAGTGAATCCATGCCTACCAGTTGACCAACTGGTAAGACAAGACGGACAATGTGTGCACCGGTTTTTGTTAGGTGAAATTCTGGTTCACCATCGTTGGTTTTGCACGCCATCATGCGACTTTCCATTACGTTCGTGGAAAGTTTCAGATTCTGTTATCGAGAGCTAGTTCTGTGAACTTCGCGAATAGAAGAATAATATGCAATTCCAGGTCCAGTTTTATATCCAAAGGGAAAATGACATTAAACGACATACAGGTTTTTTGCACAAAAAAGTTACGCGCAGGAACTTAACGCTCTTTTAATTAATCGTTGTTAATATTTCCGATAAAATCTCGCAAAGCTGCCATTTATTATTCAGTAAAAAATAAGTAAATAGCCATTTTTTTTTCAACTAATATCCATACCGTAGGAGAGATTTAGACCACATTAATCGAAAATGAATCCTTTAAGAAAATTTATTTGCGATGGGAAAATGGAGAGGAAGTGACGTAGGGGGAAATACAAACGCATACAGACACACGACATATATTGTCAAAATATATTCAATGAAAAAATGATGTTGCAAAAGTTGGACAATTCTTCCGCATTATTACAAGGAGGACTAATATTGTAGTAGGAGCAATAATAACAATAGTGTCCTGCGTATCTTCATTTACTATTACTTTTACCTCTCGTCTAGAGAAGTACGACCGCTACCGAATGCAATTAATAGGGCCCTACAACTTATAACGGTGCCTTAAAGAAAACGCGCGAGGAACGTTCTTTATTTACAGTAATAACCAGGTCGAACCATGGAGTTGCTTCTTTATGGGTTTGTCGCGGTCTGATCTTGAGCAATATTGTACAATTACAATAATGCGCGTTCGCTGCTCGTTCTTTCTTTTATAAATAATTAATATTATCCTCTCGTCAAAATCCAGCGTTTCGCTCGAGCATTCGATATGGAGTCAATTAATTTCTAAAAGTATTCGGGTGCGTTCATTCAATTGATGGTACAAGTATCTGTTTTCAAAGAAAAACGTAAATTTCGATTATTTCGATCAGCATACCGAACGAATAGTTTTGCTAAAGTGTCTAAAATTTTTGTTGGACACACAAATCTGAAAATAATTATTCGATCATCAGAAAGTTCAAACTGTAAAAAGTTTCGATATTCTAGCAATTAATGCCTTACATAATTATCGTGTCCAACAAAATTGTTTTCAAATCTGTATCTAGATTTTTTTTGGTCAGCAAAACCGTTCTTTCTTTGTAGTAGTCAATTTGATTAATCCTAATTTGTATTCGCTTCAAAATTTCCATAATTTATTCGCGGGTCCTACGTATTTTAAATTAATGTATCTTTGCTTAAATTAAACGTAATTAAATATCTTTTATTTATTTTAAAGGTTTGAGGAATATAAGATTACATGATTCAAAATTATCCCATATAGGGTTTTACAATCAGCCCAATGCTGGACTATTACTTATTGATACCTAGTCAGTTCAAGTACTGACTAGGTATTAGCAATTTACACAGTACTGACTAAGTACTTAGCCAGTCATTTGCCAGTGATGGCCTAGTACTGGTTGACAAACTTTGGCTGTCATTTGTCAGCTAGTTATTGGACTGTGGTGGCTAACAGAATTTTAGCCGTCATTTGTCAGTGAATTATTTGCCAATAATAGCCCAGTACTGGTTGACAGAACCTTAGCCGTCAGTTGACAGTCATAGTATGACTAAGCGATGGTTTCGTTGTAACTGCTGAAGACCCTATATGGGATGTAAGGTTGTATGAAAAACATTTATTATAAACAATTTTTCGCAACGTAGTTGAAAGAAATGTCCGAGTGTGGACTCACGAATATAGATTGTGATTAAAGAATTAAAAAATGGGATTCTCAAGCAGTGACAAGATACTCATACGGTGAAGTTAAAAAGTATCAGATAATCAGTAATTCAGTAAATCGTTTCGTCGACCGATGTAACAATTAACGTCCTTCAAACATATAATAAATGAAAGACCGCGCGAGAGTTTCATTCGTTGTCAGATGACAGCAACCGACAACTGTTCGAGAACTGCTCGCGAAACGCAGAATTTTCACAGCACTGGTAATGTTCGCGATTTTTAGTTAGACTTAGGCGAATAAATAAATCTCGTTCACTAATTACATTGCCCTCAACAAACGACTTTAGTGTTTCGCGGCGGAGCGCCGCAATTCGAGCTACAATAAATACAACGATTTTATCAATTAAACGGATTCGCGCGTCAGCGCGTCAAATTTTAAATATATCGTCTTGATTCGAAGCGAGGACCTCGAGAAGTTCGTTTTCGGCTCGCGGGACGATAATACGAGAAATAAACTTTCTCATACATTTCGTCCATCGAAAGAGAACTCGCAATTCGACAGAAAAAAGTCGGCGCTCTAAAAAAAAAATTCACTCCTCGAGTCTTGCTCCACGAGTGGTCTTTGCTAATTCGCCCGCAAATTTTCGTTCACGGAAAAGTTATTCCTCTTTCCTTTTTACACGCTCACCGACTATTCACAATTCATTGTTCTCACGCACTCGTCGAGCGAGTTCACTCACGTCCGTAAGGATGCACGTCCCAATACCGATGTCCTGTCGCAAGACGAGGATGTGCGACGCGCTAGCTAGAAAGCACGGACTCGGACGTCAAGGATCACGCGCAGTCCAGGGATGCCAGAGACGCAGGACTGTGGGGACCGCCGAGCATGAAGGGCGGACTCATCGGCGGCCCGCCACTTCCGGTGCTGTTCCCGTAGAGCTCAAGGTCGCCGAGATTACCGCCGTCCACTCCGCCGTCGCACTTGTCGGACTTGCCCTCCTGCTTCAGTACCATACGCCGCCATTTTGCTCGCGCGTTCTGGAACCAGACCTGAGAACAAGACGAGCAGAGGGTTTCGGTCATTACGTACGAAAGCTTGAGTTATCGCTCAAGCTTCGCATATGACCTCGCAAAATTCAATTATAGGAGAGAGGAAACGCGATTAATTTAAACAATTGATTACGGACTTAATGTAAATATTTTCAGGAAACGGTAAAGTGACGTTGCGTTCGTATAACCTTCAACTATAATATAAAAATTATTTTAAACAAGAGAGGTGGGTGCATAAAATGCAAGCATTATTTTTAATTCGCGATATTTTTAAAGGTATTAATAATTTTGAAAATTTTTATAATAAAGAAAATAAAAATCCTTGATTCTTTAATTTTAATGAAGAAAACTATTTTGTTACTTTCCATCAATTAATTAAGAGCAAATTCATTATAACCTTAGAAAATCGTAGCACAGAAAAACCTATATAAATAGCCAAGCGCGACTGTGGTTATGAAAGACATTGATCGTTTAATATGACAGTAATATTTTTGATGAAGATAGAAGAAAGTTAGACAAAGAATTAAGAAAAAAAGGAGTTTTGAATAAAATATATTTTTTTATGGATTAAACAAGGAATGCAGTTAAACTATTTTGTTTAATTAATTCCGTATAAAGAAGATTAGAAAAATAATTTAATATCTGTTCTAAAATATTTTTATGTTATACAACTTGAAGTGACAGATTAAAAGCACGTTAATGTTCACCATCCGGTGACGTCTTGGATTAATAAAAAACCCTATTAAAACTACACACCTAAGCGTTTTAAAGCGTTTTAATTACTTGAAGTACAAAATACTTTCATCACATTCCGATGATTGACAGAGGGAGGTGTGTTCAAAGGTTTTTATTTACAATTTAAAACTTCATTTAGTATCAAGACGTAAGATTATACAATCGTCTAAAAATTTTCGCTTTCGGATCCAAATGACCCGTCGTTATAATCGAGAGATAACAACGTTATTCATGCCATGCAGAAAAGAATTCATGAACGCCTTATACATCCGCAAACTCGTAGCGTTAGATAAGAGTTCCTCTTCCTATTCGCGTGGACTCGCACACGGACACGCGTGCGCGCCTTCGCGAAGCTTCCTCTATATTCGCGATAAATGAAAGACGATGCGATCCGACGTCGCCATTTTCAAGACAGTCTCCTCCCCCGCAGACTTCCAACGAAAGAACTCGCGGTCCGACTACTCGTGCGTATCCCACCTCGAGTGCGTGAGCTCGCGCGCGCGCGCGCGTTTACCGGTGTATCTGTGCGCGCGCGGCAGGCAAGTATTCGCGCGTTTCGCGATCAATATCAAGCAAGATGGCGACCAAGAACCCTACGAATACAATAGCGGCCACCTCCAACCCTCTCCTTCGGCTCGACGAATGGGCGCAGAATCGAGACTATGTAACAACCGGAATCATTGTTATGCGGAAGATTGGAGAAAACATGGCGATGATTTTTGAACGGCGTCATTTTTTCCAAATTCTGCTTTCTAAAATTACGTTTTGCTTTACTTTAAAGAAATGATAGTTTCGTCACAGAGAGGTGTATTAAGAATTTATCATCACACACAGATTTAAAAATTTCGAACTCAAGGATATAAAAAAGAGAGTAAGATAAAATAAATCGTAATCACTCTTCAATATATAATTACCCTTTATATTTCAATATTTCTTATTTCAATAATTTTATTTTAGTAATTTTTTTGGAATCAATTTTTCTATAACACTTAAAAATAACTTGAATTATGTTTTTATAATGGATTAACAGTACAGGGTAATTAAAAAAATAAATTAAAAATATTAAATAAAAGTAATTAAAAAATAAATAAAAGAATAAAATAATTATTTCATTTTATCACCTTTTTATTGTATATCCTCAGGTCAGAAACTTTTGAATTTTATTAAATATGTATTTATAACTATAATATATAATTAGAAATAAATATAATTAAATTATATTTA